TTAAAGGAGAACTATGGGGTCAGTGTTTTTCCCCATAGTTCTCCTTAGGGTAACGGGAGGACACAAACTAGCGTCCTTCCGTTACCCTAAGCTCAGTATACCGCGAGCTACAGCTCGCGGTATACTGAGACGCCGCAGCCGGAGCGGATCCCGACGTAGATGACGGGATCCGCCCAGCTGTGTGAGTGACTGCTGGCTCTAGAGGCAGAGCCAGCTGTACCCGCGCCCTCCTCCGTCCGTTCCGCCAGTCAGCGCTGGCAGATTGGAGCAGGGAGAGGGGAATCCAGTCCCTCCCCCGTCACTGCAGAGAGCCGTGACAGGATCGAGAGGTGAGCGAACCTGGTATGTGTTCATTTTTTTCACTGGCACTTGTCACAATATTTACCAGGACTGAGTTAGATAGTATCAATTTTTATTGAACCTTAGACACGGACTTAGACACAGACTTAGACACTATAACATTACAGGAGGACCTGGATAAAATAGGGGAGTGGGCATTAATGTGGCAGATGAGGTTTAATGTCGATAAATGCAAAGTAATGCACTTTGGAATTAAAAATAAACAAATGGGTTATACAATTATTGCTGGGAAGTAAGAAACGGAGAAGGATTTGGGGGTCATTGTAGACCACAAACTGAAAGGTAGTTTGCAGTGCCAGGCTGCTGTAAACAAAGCTAGCAGGGTCTTGTCCTGTATTAAAAAGGGGATGTATTGCAGGGACAAGTCTATAATTTTGCCACTTTATAGATCATTGGTTCGACCACATCTGGAGTACGCGGTCCAGTTCTGGTCACCAGTACTAAGAAAAGATGTCCTTGAGTTGGAAAAAGTCCAGCGGAGGGCAACCAAACTAATTAGGGGTATGGAGGACCAGAGCTACGAGACGAGGCTACTAAATTTAAACATGTTCACATTGGAGGTGAGGAGATTAAGGGGGGATATGATTTCCATGTACAAGATGTTCAATGGTGGCAGCAACATTAGCGATAAACTGTTTAAAATTAACTCCATTACAAAAACTAGAGGCCACCACCTAAAATTGGTGGAAAAAAAATTCCAGCACAAGGGGCGAAGGGGGTTCTTCACAGTAAGATCAGTTAGGGTCTGGAACTCACTGCCACAGGCGGTGATTTCAGCAAATAATGTGGAATTGTTCAAGAAACTTTTGGACGATTTCTTAAGGGACCGTAATATACAGGGGTACAGGTAACATACAGGGGTACAGGTAATATACAGGGGTACAGGTAATATACAGGGGTACAGGTACTCCTAGAATGAGATCCTAATAGGTTGGACTTGATGGACAAGTGTCTTTATTCAACCTCAAATACTATGTAACTATGTATATTTGACACTGAAACAATTTGTTACACTGTATTTTTAACCACATGAATTGCTTTATTTCTTAGAATGCAATGTTGTACCACTGAAAAATTCTCACAGAGATCTAATTGATTATGGTTATAATTATTCACACTTCAATATATTTAGATATTTGATAATTATATATTTGTTATTCGATGAGGATATATTGGGATTTTTTTTTCACTTTTAACACTGGGTATTTATTTTATTTGCTCACCCTTAGCGCTGTGTTATCATTTTCATATCTAGGGATGAGTTTGAGGGCCAAGGTTATATTTATGGGTAACCTTGAGGGGTATTAGTAATATTTATAGGTTACCTTGAGGGATATGAGTTATATTTATGGGTTACCTTGAGGGGTATGGGTTATATTTATAGGTTACCTTGAGGGGTATGGGTTATATTTATAGGTTAGCTTGAGGGGTATGGGTTATATTTATAGGTTACCTTGAGGGATATGAGTTATATTTATAGGTTAGCGTGAGGGGTATGGGTTATATTTAGGGATTACCTTGAGGGGTATGGGCTATATGTATGGGTTAGGTTGAAGTTGATATCTAGGGATTAGGTTGAGGGCCAAGGTTATATTTATGGGGATCAGGGTTATATTTAGAGGTTAGGTTAAGGTTTTAGGCCTAAGGTTAGGTATGAGACCCAGGTTTGGTATTAGATTTAGGTAGAAGTTAGGTGTTAAAGTGTACATAAACCCTGAATCTATTTTTCCATATGTTTGGTACTAGTAGGTAGACAACTGAAGGAGCAAAAGGCAGGCTGACAAAGGATAAAGAAGAGCATATTGAAGAATCTCTCGGCCTTTACTCTTGACTTTTTATGCCAAGTATAGCCAACGAGTAAAAGCAGAGGTTGGCCTTACCAGAAGTGTAGCAAGTGTTATAAGCCAACTCGTCATCACTTGGCATACTCTGAACACAGCTTAGAAGGGTTTCACTCTCTCCAGAACCGTAATCTGACCTGCGTAGCACTAAGTGGCCCATAGTGAAGGTCACGTCTCTGTAGAAGACCTTGGGATTGGAGCAAGAGAAAATTTGCGTTGTGAGCTTGCATATCCCACGATGGCAATAATCAACGAAGGATGGGCGATGTTCTAACCTGGCTGTATATTGAGTATATCCCAGAATGCTTCACTCTTACACTTCGGCCGTGAACCTCTAGGGACCTCCCTTCCTGCAGTGATGTTTTCCAGGAGATTTCTGTACGGTCCGCAGAGTCTGAAGCAAACAAAAAGTAGAGGAGAGCAATTATTTTTATGATGAAGTGAGTTCGAGGACAAAGAAAATCTGAACATAGACCACTGTGAAGAACCTGATAAAGTTCTCCAAGGGTCTTGCTTATGAAGATAGGTTCTCATCCCACGAATTTCAGGGTGCCTGAGAGCTAAAAGAGGATAGTGGCTGATTACTTTAGGAATTATGAAATGATTCTTATTCCTTCAAAGTTCTTCAAGAAGAAACTTGATTCAGTTACTTCCAACACGTTTGTAATGCACATTCCTCGGAGATGCCCAAGCCCTTCTATAAGGTGAAAATGACGGCCGTGCATGTGCGCAAACGCCTCTATAGAACAGGCCAGAAATATGCAGTAGTGCGCATGCGCGCGCAAAGACACGCAAACGTCAGGCGCACAGGAAGTGATGCTACAAGCATTAATGGATTGGCCTTTTTAAACAAGCCTGCCCTGCTCACTGTGCTGATGGTCTTTCAGCTGTGTGTGTGTTCTTGTGCCCATTATCCTGTTGAAGACTTCTGCCTGTACCCTCTTGACTCGGATTGTTTGGACTCTTCTTGGTCGCTGTCTGCCCCTGACCTCGGCCTGTTTCCTGGACTTACCTCGCTGCCCGGCTGGTTCTGATCCATGGCTATCCTTGACTTCGTTCCTGATTTGGCTTATCCGCTCCTGGACTTTCCTTGCACCAGTGCCTGATCCCACCTGTGGCACTCGTGCTCCTCGCCTCCTCTAACTCCCTGTTCCCACCTCCACGGGGTGTAGGACACGAGAAGTAAGAGAAGCCTCCTCAGCTGTCGGTCTCTCACCAGGTACGTGATACCTACTATATCACTACATAGTATAAGGAGGGTGGCAAGAATATTAAGAGCCAGCATTTAAGCCAGCCCTGTGCCACTGCCCCCCGCGTCCCCTTCCCGAAAAATATACTCACTGAGCCATGTTCCCTTGCTGCAGAAGTCCACCCTGGGCAAGCTCTGGTGGAGCTTAGCCGGGTGGATTATGTCAAGGCACCTACACATGTAGCACTGTTGATGCCTGCTTCTTCGGACCATACACTGCCACATAAGGGAGGTTACATGCTTTCCCATACCCAAAGCAACAGAATACAGATTCCACCCTTTGGCATGTACAATGCACAATGGCTGTGATTAGGTATTGGGAGCCCAGAATTGCTAACAATTAAGTATAGCACTCCTAGGCTCTAGGTTATAGACAGCAGGTGGGTAGGGGAGTGAATAATTTTGTCTTTATAACATGGCCTATGTGTGATTGGAGAGGGAAGAGAGGTGGATAGTTAATTTGGAAAATGGTCTCACCGACTGAAGATACCGACTCGGCTACCAGGTGGAGAAGCGAACGATTTCCTGAAAGAAACAATACAGTATATTGAAAATGCTTTGTGTAAATCTTTATATAACGTTGGGATGAGACAGTGCCAGGACAAGGTCCATTATCACCAAAGACAAAAAGGCCCAACTGCTCCCTTTCTCCCAACCATTTTATTATCAATTTCAGGTGTTGCACCCCCTTTACCCCTGGGCAGATGAGGGGGACCCCCAGGCAGCTCAGTAAGCTCTTAGGGCGGAATCCTTGGCTGGTTGTAAGGCAAAAAGGAAACTGGGCGCCAGTCACTTTAAGAAAACGTAATGGGTTGGTTTGGCTCAATAAGCTCCAGGGGAGAGGATTAGGACACAGGATACAACAGGCAAAACATTCTTAGACTTCTATTCTTGGACCTTCAAGCCAAGACCGGCAGTCTGTATACGTTGAATGTTGAGCACAACCTGTTAGCACAAGTACCTTCTAGAATGAACAGCTAGAACCTGCTGCAAACCTGCAAGGAGGGGGTGAGACTGGAGTTGGGCTTTAGGGTTAAAACACAGCTTTGCGATCGGGTGCATTGCAGTAAAATTTTCAATGGCACCCCAATGCACAAAGGCAACTCAGCCCTGACGCTCAAGCTTTGCAGCGCACCACAGTGCATGGTACCACACTACCACATTGTGTTGCGTTGGAGCAAGGGTGCATGCCTGTTTTTTTGGCTGCTTCTAGTGCATAGGCAGCCCATTCATGCATGCAACACAAGTTGGTGTGTGACACAACACACATTAACACAGGTGCCATTATTCAACACACGGGTGCAAAGAAGTGTGAATGGGCCATAAATGTCTTATTTTTAATTTTTTTAATAATATCGTTATCTTTCAAATAAACATTTATTATGGGAGGGTGCAGCTCACTTTGCAAAGCAGGCTGGCCTTCTAATAGGAATACAATATAGACACACCATAGAAGCCCTTGTATGAGTTAGCCGTTCTCAGGGCCAAACGTCAACCAAGGCATTACTCAGCAAAGGTTTCCATTTTTTTGGCCACTGCTTAGATCCCACACCGTTCGTCGCCTTCCTATCATGACGCTTCCCCATCTTCTGATCAATGTTATCTTTGTTCTGAGTCTGGCACCGGAACGAGGAAACAGATTACAAATATAAAGTGTATTTGCATAACAGAGATTAGCCGCTGGCACTTTAATTGTCTCACAGACCATAATGCATGACTTGCTAGAAGCAGACAAGTACACTCTGCAGACATTTCACAATTACTTCTTAGTGCCCCGAGCCAACGGGAGGAATGGGTTTTAACCCTGGGCAGTGAGAAGACGAGAATAGGATCAATGACGACAGGCAAGGGAACAAGATGGGTGAAAGGGAATGTGGCAAAAAGTTATTTTGTGTTGGCCTTTAACCCCTTCGTGACTGACGACGTACAGTGTACGTCGCCAGCATCGGGGCTGTTTAAAACAACATCCTCATTTACTTTCCATGGGCTGCCACTGACCCTCGGTCCACATTAGATAACCCAATGCCGTGCAAAAATCGCTTCTCTGCCTTTTGGCTAAGATCAAGTGTAGTATCTGTTCAATCAAAAAAAAAATCTGTTCTAATCAGTTGCAGGGGGGGAAAGGAGCCGCTGTACTGGCCTTATGGCTTGTATGGCTGGAATCTGAGTACCCTGCCTGGTGATGGGGGTCCTAAAAGGTCCTGGCTATGGGAAGGAAACCGAATTGAGCATCCACTCGCATAAGAGTGGGGTCGGGAGTACTTCTCGGGTGCTGGTATCTGGCAGGGCCCAGTTGCTCCTGATTTAGACGGGTCTACCTTGTCTGGCCATGGGCTGGGAAGGCACATGTGCTGATGGTCTTTCAGCTGTGTGTGTGTTCTTGTGCCCATTATCCTGTTGAAGACTTCTGCCTGTACCCTCTTGACTCGGATTGTTTGGACTCTTCTTGGTCGCTGTCTGCCCCTGACCTCGGCCTGTTTCCTGGACTTACCTCGCTGCCCGGCTGGTTCTGATCCATGGCTATCCTTGACTTCGTTCCTGATTTGGCTTATCCGCTCCTGGACTTTCCTTGCACCAGTGCCTGATCCCACCTGTGGCACTCGTGCTCCTCGCCTCCTCTAACTCCCTGTTCCCACCTCCACGGGGTGTAGGACACGAGAAGTAAGAGAAGCCTCCTCAGCTGTCGGTCTCTCACCAGGTACGTGATACCTACTATATCACTACATAGTATAAGGAGGGTGGCAAGAATATTAAGAGCCAGCATTTAAGCCAGCCCTGTGCCACTGCCCCCCGCGTCCCCTTCCCGAAAAATATACTCACTGAGCCATGTTCCCTTGCTGCAGAAGTCCACCCTGGGCAAGCTCTGGTGGAGCTTAGCCGGGTGGATTATGTCAAGGCACCTACACATGTAGCACTGTTGATGCCTGCTTCTTCGGACCATACACTGCCACATAAGGGAGGTTACATGCTTCAGGAAAGCCTGTGGTGTTTAAGCCCCCTAGAGTGGTGACCCAGGGGTGCCCTAGTAGCACTATGGGTTTGGGACTTTTGCTGCACATCGCCTCTTGGGCTAGACCTTTTGGCTAAGACCAGGGGTCATTTTTATTACCGGGCCACAAAGGCCCAGCCATTGTATTGTACTCTGGCACTCTAAATTATTTTTCTCACTTGTATGTGCACTCTACACTTTATTTTTGTGTTTTTCACTCCACAGGATGGAGGGTGTGGATCTTCGGGCCTACCCTGAAGTCTACGGGGAGGATGTGTGGCCCTTAGGTTCTTTCCTCCCCTGAATCGGGGATCTCTCTTCGGGGGAGACCCCAACCTAGTACTCAGTGGTCGGCTTCGGCTGGCCACAAGGAATGGGTCCGCCTGGCTTCGGTCAGGTGGACACGAGTGCCCTTCCCCTGTCAGGAGCCTTGCTCCCCGGGGGGTCAGGGATGGGCCCTGTCTCTTCGGGAGACGGACCATTTAGATAGCACCCCTTCTGTGCACTTTTTTTGTTCACTTTTTGGGTGTTTCAATGCGCACTCCACGGGCTTAAAGAAAAAAAATGCAGTGCAAAAATGAACGTGTTGCACATGGGATGGATGAGCCCTTTAAATGAGCCTTTTGTTTTTACAACTCTTCTATCAATCTTTTTTTTTTAGGAATGGAAAGTTTTTTTAATGGAAGCATAGCCTGACGACATGGCTTGCTGTAACGTACTAGAAATGTGTGTGGTCCTTGATTTTTATTGTAGGTGCGGCTAGGACTACAAAGGATGGTCAGCACTGCAGCAAGAAGAAAAGAGGAAGCCGGCTCCTCATCCAAGTTAACTGATAATTTGCATATAGTAAGAAGATAATTTAAATATATTAAAAATCTGCATATATTATAAATATTCTGTAAAAAAAAAGTGTGTTACTGTTCCTTTAAATAGATCGAATCCTTTGACATGCTCCTCCTGCTTAGTCTTACCATTGTGTCTCTTTTTTCTGGGGCAGGGGGCCTCCCTCTTCTGCCGCTGGCACAGCGACGTGTCACAGTATTTCTTCGCCTGCCAAAAGGAATTAATTGGATTAAAGTGAACCTGTCATCTCCCAAAAAAAAAAAAAAATTTAAAGGGCACCTCCTTGGGCAGATGCCTTACTACTTTTGATGAGCCAAATGAACCTCCCCCCATAAATCATTTGTGCCCAATGACTCACAGTTTATATATTACAGAGCTGCGGCCCTTAACTTCCTGTCGTGGAGAGAGGACATTGGCGATGTCACATGGAGTTGGTCCCATAGGATGGCAGTGTACAGTCAATCAATTAGGGTGGAGGCTGGAGGAGGGGGGAGCAGGATAGTGACTTGTATAGGTATATTAAGCACCAGAGATTGTTGATGCCGGGAATATCCGATTGCCTTATGGGGTCAGGAAGGAATTTTTTTCCCCTGTTGGAGCAAATTGAACGGTGCTTTATAGGGGTATATTTTAGCCTTCCTCTGGATCAACAGGGGGTAACTGTAGGCACAGCGTTCTGTTTTAGGTTTTTCTCCTTTCTTCTCTTATCTCTATAGGTTGAACTCGATGGACTTGTGTCTTTTTTCAACCTGAGCAACTATGTGACCGTCCCTACACTTCGGTGCTGTGTGTTTGTGCTAACTCACACTGCGCAGGACTGTAAGTCGGGAGCGCGCATGCAACGGTGGCTCCATACAACCCTGAAAGGCAATGGAGCCACCCTAAAACAGAAAACCCGCAGCAGTGATCTGCAAGATGTCAAAGAAGATAAAGCAGCAGCTCTATGCTCATTAGATGAATGACTCATGAAACGTCTACAAAGACCACTGCCATTCAAACATTGGAGCTTCAGGACACCTATACTGTATGTACTGTGCCTTGCAGCCAAGCAGCTTGATGAAGCCGGTTGGCTCAGTGAGCTTGTGGATTGAGTCGCAGCTTGATGAAGCCGGTTGGTTTGGTGAACTTGTGGATTGAGTCGCAGCTTGATGAAGGCGGTTGGCTTGGTGAGGTTGTGGATTGAGTCGCAGCTTGATGAAGCCGGTTGGCTTGGTGAGCTTGTGGATTGAGTCGCAGCTTGATAAAGCCGGTTGGGTTGGTGAGCTTGTGGATTAAGTCGCAGGTTGATGAAGGCGGTTGGGTTGGTGAGCTTGTGGATTAAGTCGCAGGTTGATGAAGGCGGTTAGCTTGGTGAGCTTGTGCATTGAGGTAGCATCAAACACTTTTGTTTTCCTTTCAAATCCACCCAACAAAGTGTAACCATAAAGTATTTTTCCTCAATTGGTCCCAAAACATACACTTCGCTTGGCCCTTCTCAGCTACGTTTCTCTGAACCTCCGCTTGGGCGGTGTGCTCCGTTTATATCAATGAAAGGTCACGTCGCCTCATGTTCCAGAACTACATGTCTCATGTTCCTTTGTGCCTTTTAGATTAAGCGCATGAATGCTCATCTGTCAATGGAAGCACTTAGAGAAGTCAGGAGAGTGGCTTGGGACTGCTGCCTGTGCGCACAGAGCGTTGACTTTGGATGATAGCTCGGCCAGAAGCGGGTAGATAAGGGTCTTGCTGTCCGTGCAGGGCGTCATGGACCTACTCCCTGAGGGTGCATCACCACCGCATCTAATGGTGTGACCTGGTTTACCAGTGGAGAGATTTTTCCTGATGATTTGCCGTAATTCGTACTTTAACTGCAATTTTATCATTTTTATTAATTTGTCTGCACGAGCCGTGGCCCTCGGGTTTCTGTTTCCGCTTCTCTGTTTCACAGTCTATTCAAGTCAGCTTGCAATTGGGTTCGCTTCAAACTCAATTTCTTCCAAACCCAAAAGGACGCTGGCATTCCCTGCCCCGCAACATCACGTAAAGGGACAGGATGTTGATGACATCATTGACCAGATTTGGCCATTTATGGTAAATTATGTCACGTCAATATGGCCACAGGGCCATACTGGGTCTATAATGTCACATCAGTATGGCCACAAGGCTATACACTGAGTGGCCAGATTATTATGACCACCTGACGTTTGTAGGCAAATTAGCTATAATTTTGGGCTGAAGTTGCTAGAGGGCCAGACCATTATAAATAGGGAAGCAGGTTGGTTACCACGACAGTAGAAGTGATTTGTTTCTGAAGATACGGGGAAACAACGCGATTTAACAGCCTTTGAACGTGGGATGATTGTTGGCGCTCGGAGCCATTGAGCGAGTATCAGCAAAACAGCAGAATTCGTTACATGTTCAAGAGCGGCTCATTGTTAAAGTGTTTAAAGACTGGACTGTCAGCCGAAAATCTGGGTCTGAACGTGCGAATTGTGGCCGTCAGCGACTAGTCAATGTTAGGGCAGAACGGGGGAGGGGCAAGACTGATACAAGACAACAGAAGGGCAACAGTGCCGTGTCAGATTCCTCGCATCACCTTTTATCATCTCGTGGAGTCACGAGGCGGCCCAATGAAGTGCTGATGGGGTGGTCATAATAATCCGGTCACTCAGTGTATTTGGTCAATAATGTCACATCAAGCTTGGCCACATGGGCATATTAGGTCAATGGTGTCACATCAGTATGTCCACATGGCTGTATTTGGTCAGTGATGTCACATCAGTATGGCCGTATTTGGTCAATGATGTCATCAGCAACCCGCACTCCCTGTTTATAGGCAACTTTGAGGCAGGAATTCCCCCAGCCACAGCTCATTTGGCTGGCCCAGACAGCTTCCTTCCAGGTTCTGATGAACTGGGGTTCAGACTGAACTGGAGCTCATTTTTCCTTCCAGAGAGCTGTCCTAAGCCTTGCTTGGACATAGCAGGATCCTGGCAGATCCATTGTACCATGCACCCTAAATAGTAATCAGCCGGATCCTGGCAGATCCATTGTACCATGCACCCTAAATCATGCACCCTAAATAGTAAGCAGCCGCATCCTGGCAGGTCCATTGTGCCATGCCCCCTAAATAGTAATCAGCCGGAGCCTGGCAGATCCATTGTACCATGCACCCTAAATCATGCACCCTAAATAGTAAGCAGCCGCATCCTGGCAGGTCCATTGTGCCATGCCCCCTAAATAGTAATCAGCCGGAGCCTGGCAGATCCATTGTACCATGCACCCTAAATCATGCACCCTAAATAGTAAGCAGCCGCATCCTGGCAGGTCCATTGTGCCATGCCCCCTAAATAGTAATCAGCCGGAGCCTGGCAGATCCATTGTACCATGCACCCTAAATCATGCACCCTAAATAGTAAGCAGCCGCATCCTGGCAGGTCCATTGTGCCATGCCCCCTAAATAGTAATCAGCCGGAGCCTGGCAGATCCATTGTACCATGCACCCTAAATCATGCACCCTAAATAGTAAGCAGCCGCATCCTGGCAGGTCCATTGTGCCATGCCCCCTAAATAGTAATCAGCCGGAGCCTGGCAGATCCATTGTACCATGCACCCTAAATCATGCACCCTAAATAGTAAGCAGCCGCATCCTGGCAGGTCCATTGTGCCATGCCCCCTAAATAGTAATCAGCCGGAGCCTGGCAGAT